GAGATTGCACTTAGGGGTTGTAGCAGTTTAGATTTGTTAATTTTGTTTCCCGGCCAACATACCAAATAAATGTTGTGGTTTTATAGCAGTAATTTAAAAAATCACTAGAAAATTTACTTATTTCTTGCTAGGAGATATGGATTAGAAGAAGAACAAAACAGGCTTAAAACTTAAAAGGAATAAAGAAATTTTATTAACAAAACTACAAGAATAAGAAAACCAGAATAAGACCTCCAGAAAACCCTTTTCTCCCCCATTACCCAACCATTCCCTTGTTCACCTGACAACATAGAAACAAAAAAAAACTTTGGTGTTTACAACGGTCCCAATACTTGCTAGAGTCCTTTCATCAGTCCTTGTAGAGAAACAGAAGTCTTCTTTTGCTAATCTATGGAGTTTTTCACAAGAGAACTAATTTTCTTCATAGCTTTCTATTTCTCTGATGCCAGCTGCCCGAAAATCTGCCATCAGTTGTCTCCTCCCATTTCACATCACTCTGAGGTGCGTTATGGGTCAAATGATTCTAGGGATGTCATTTTTAGGGATGAGTTATTCAAAGGCAAAAGTTCTCTTCATCTGTCTCTCTGAGCCTCCCTGGAAACAGAAGATTTTCTTTGCCTCTACAAAGCCACAAATCTTCAACTATTACTTCTCCCCCTCTGTTCCAGCACATCACGTATCACAACTACTCCACCTTTTGCTCAAAATCCACACTTTGGAACACTCCATTCCTCTCAATAAATTCTGTCATGAATTAAAGGAGTTCTTTATTTTCAGAACACTATTGTCCATCTCTATAGCTTTAACAGAAAAATATTTCAGCTTATTAAAGCATTTCCTTATTCTCTCTTCCCCATCTAAAACTTAACTCTTTTCTTCACTGACTTTGATGGTTTTATCATGTCTTCTTCATGTTGATTATCCCCCTCTCTCTCTTCCCCTCTCTCTGGAAAAAAGGGATTAATCTGTAAGTCTCATCCAGGTAGTAAAAGAGTTCAAGTCTTGGAAAGCTGCAGATGTTCATGGAGTCAGGTTTCAGTTCAGTAGCACAAACTGCAAACCAAGTCAGGCCGGCTGCCTCCGCTCTTCTCCTTCCCCCCACCCTCCGCGGCCTTGTCCGGCCTGGTTGGGGAGGAAGAGGCTGAGCCGGAGCCAGAGCATTGTTACCTGTTCAAACGCTGGAAACCAAAGAGAACAAGAAATTCCCAGTCTTAAGCCTTACGATAGGTATTCACAAGTTGATCTCACTTTTCAATGGTCAGAATCACTGGGAGTTCTCAGAAATGGCTAGTAATTGGTCAGGAGAAAAAAGTCCCATCAGCCTCCAGCAGCTTCAACTTCCCCCCAGTTCCCAAAGCAAACCTTAAAGGTGCAGAACTCAAGATATATAAAGTCACACCAGGACAATTATTTTTCTTGTAATAATTCTATTTTATAATTACTAAATAATGTGGTGGGTTTAGCACTGGCTAAAATCACCAGTGCACTTACTCATTTGTTTTTGCTGGGAGATATGGATTAGGAGAAGGGCAAAACAGGCTCAAAACATAAAAGGTATAAAGAAACTTTATTAACAGGACTACAAGAATGAGAAGCATCAGAATAATACTTCCAAGACTCCTTTCCTTCCCCGTGACTAACTTCTTTCCTTTCCCAACTGACAGCCTAGACACAAAACATGGGATGTTAAATCAGTACCAACTAGACAATAGTCTTCCATCAGTTCGTGTAGGGAGAGAAGATTTCTCTTGCCATGCCATCGAGACTTCTCTACAAGAAACAGTTCTCTCATGGCTTTTCATTTCCACAAATAGCATCTGCCCAGGTTAAGTTCTGCAATTGTGAAATCCTTCCCATTTTCACAGCCCTGCTACAAGTGTCTTCATGGGCTATGAACTCATGTGCTATTATTTTAAGGATGAGTTGTTCAAAGGCAAAGGTTCCCTTCATCTGTCTCTGTCATCATCTCTGGGAACAGAGCTTTTCTTCTTCTCTCCCTGGGGACAAAACGTCTTCCTCACTCTCATCTCTCTCGCTCTCTGTTCAAGCTTCTCATGGGATCACAGCTACTGCAACATCTGCTTGACTTCTTATCAGTGCATGCCTCTGTTCACATGCACAGTTTGAATGCTTCATTCCCCCATCCTCTCTCATGAATTGAAGGAGATGTTTCCAGGTATCATTGTCTATCTCCATGGTGCTACCAAAAGAATTTTTCAGCCCAACACTGAGACATCTCCTCATTCACCTTCTTTGAATCTTTCTTTACTGACCTCAGTATCTTCATATTGTCTTCTACGTGCCCCCTCTTTGTCCTTTTCTCTTGAGGGGAGAATGGTGGTTTGCAGGTCTCATCTGTGCACTGATAGGGTTAAATGAAAGGCTTAAATCCTGCCCGGTCTGCAGATGGTCGTGGGCAGTGGCTGCAGCAATTATGATGATGATTTCAGGCTACCCTGGGCCCCCTCTCTCTGCCCAGCAGCTGCTGGGAGGGGAGGCTCGGCCTGGAGCCATCGGTGTGTGCTGGGGAGAGGGTTTAGTGTCAGCGAGATGTCAGCAGCTGTGGCCCAGCCTTGCCTGGGGCTGGGATTCTGCAGCCTCCATCTCCTGTCCAGGAGCCACTGGGGTCCGGCCCAGCCTCTCCCAGGAGCACAGGCCGTGGGTGAGCAGGGCCGGCCTCACCAGAGCTCCGTCACCTTCTGGGTCCAGAAGCCAAGAGAGAGTTTTCCCAAGCTTTATTTTTTAAAATGTAGATCTCACAGAGGCAGACCTCATTTCTAAATGGTTCAAAATGCTGTCACTTCTCAGCACTAGCCAGCTATTGACCTTTCCCAGGCACAGAAGGAGCTCCCAGCAGCTCCTCTCAGAGAAATCACTTCCGTGGGTGCTTTCTTTCTTCTTCTCCAAATATCAATCAATGTGAAACCACCACAGGGATACAAATCCAAATGGCAGGAACCCAAATGCTCTGGAGTCACAGCTGAAGGCCTACATCTGCACAGGATGTTTTGGCTGCCGCACCCTTCCACTGCTTGTACCTGCAAATGCCATTGCCCTTTCTGCCTCAATTAGACATACCACACAGCTGGCCAAAACCCAGCCAGTGAGCCAAATTCCAAAGGCAATGGACTTTGGAGAGGGTGACTGAAGAAGAGCCTTCCCCACTTTCAAAGTACACCAAAGAAGCCATGAATATCACTTTGCACCTTTAAGAGACAACTGACAACTCAGAAGGAAATGCTGAGCTTATTCACAGGGTAAGAAAGAAAGCAATCTTCCAGATGAGTTAAAATTTCAGAAATTTTATTGATTTACAGTGCTACTCTATAACCCTACCCTACAATCCTAGTCCACAATGCTACTCTATAACCCTACTCTACAATCCTAGTCTACAATCTGACTCTATGCTGGTGTTGGAGTAAATGGTCCTGATGGGATTATCACAGTGTTTTCTCCTCCTTCCACCTCTTCACTGAAATGATCAGTGGCACCAGGCTGGACACAGGCTCAGTTAATGTTACAAATGGATGCTGCCCAAAAGGGAAAAAAAGAAATCAAGAAAACTCAATTAACCATGATTTTCCAAGCTCAATGCTTCACAGCCTCAATCAGGACTCCTCTGTGTCATGGAGTTACTTTACCTTTAAGGGAGTTGGATTTGCTTGGAACTGCCTGGAGTCTTTGCTCCTGACCAATTATCGGTCATTGCTGAGAACTGACAGCAGTTTAGGCCATTGAAAAGTGGGATCAACTTGTGAACCCTACCTTAAAGTGTAAAACCAGAGCTCTCTTGGTTCTCTTTGTTTCCTGGCTGTGAAGGGTGGCAGAGCTCCAGGCCTCCCGTTCCCTGCCCAGGCCATGCGGCCGGGCGGGGATGGGGCCGGGCCCAGCGGCTCCCGGCCAGGAGATGGGGGGGACCTGCGGAAGGTTTTCCTCGATCTATGGCTCGGCTGCAGGTTTTTGCTGTAACTAAATTCACTAGAAAGTGCCGAGTGAAGAAGGAGAGAGGCTCTGGACCTGCAGCAAGCAGAGACAGCCACACTCTCCAGAGCAGCTATGAAGAACCTTCCATCGCAGACGGCTCCAGCTCCTGTTCGGCAGAGATCACCGTACCATCTACAAAAGCCTGGGCAAGATTTTAACCCTTTCATTACCCAGATGAGACTTGTGGATTAATCTTTTTATTCAGAGAGAGAGAGAGAGAGTGATCAACATGAAAAGAGACTTTATAAACTACCAGTGACAGGAAAGAAAAGAAGCTTCAGAAGAGGTAGAGAATTAAGAAGATGCTTTAATTAAGCTGAAGTATCTTTCTGTTAAAACTATGGAGATGGACAATGAAGTCCTGAAAAGAACTCCTTTAATTCATGATACAGTATGTAGGGAGGAATAAAGTGTTCAAAGTGTAAATTTGAGTAAAAAGTAGAGTAATTATGGTATAGTGAAGTGCTGGGAGATTTGAAGCCTTGAGAGGCAATGAGAAAACTGTTTTCTGGTGAAGCTCACAGAAACAGATGAAGAAGACTTTTTTGCCTTTCAATAACATCCTTAAAATGCCATCCCTAGACTCATGGCCCATACACACCTCAGAGTGATGTGAAAATGGGAGGTGTGGGCTCTGATAACAGCAGCTCTGGGCAGCTGACATTAGGGCAATGGAAAACTATAACAAAAATAGTTTTCTTGTGAGAAACTCCATAAATTATCAGGAAGAAACTTCTGTTTCCCTACAAAGACTGGTGAAAAGACTGTAGCAAGAATTGGGACTGTTTTAACCACCAAAGTTCCAAGTTTTTTTTGTCTCTGCTATCATGTGAACAAGGGAAAAGTGGGTAGATAGAGGATGAAAAGGTTTTTCTGGAAGTTTATTCTGGTGTTCTTATTATTGTAGTTTGTCAATTAACCTTTTTTTTTCCTTTTAAGTTTTATCCTGTTTTGCTCTTGTTCTAATCCATATCTCACAGCAAGAAATAAGTAATTTTCTTAGTTATTGGTTTAAAACCACGACAATGGGGGAGGAACCAGGAAGGTGGCAGTGTGTGCAAGGGCCGTTAGTGACATGGTGCAGCATGGTAACGGTGGAATGGAACGGTGGAATGGACAAGAGCTGGTGGTGACAAGACCACACCAGAGTGCTCGGTGCATGCAACGAGACAGGACACGCCAGAGCAGTGCTGTGAGGAGCCCCCGCACAGCACACTCATTTGTGTGTGACCCGGAGCTTCTCTGAGCCGTCATTCCTGCAGGTGACCTCGAGGCCAGACTGCAGGACTTGGTGACCTGTGGCCTTGCTGAGGCTTATCTTCTTAAGGTGCCCTCGAGGGCAGACAGTGGGACTCGGAGCTTTTCTGAGGCATCGCCCATCCCTGCAGTTACTGCCCTTGAGACCAGGGCACAATCCTTGAGGAGGAGCCTCCTGTCCTTGTGGCAGGAGCCCTCAAGACCCGAGTGCAGAACTTGCTGTCCTGCAGTCTTGCCAGGACTTGAGTCTTGCAGGTGCCTTCCAGGCACGACTGCAGGACTCCCTGCCTCGGAGCTTTTCTAAAGGCATCTCTCTTGCAAGTACCATAAATCCAGGCACTGCCATGGAGCAGCGACCCCCAAGAGTTCCCAAGCTGGCCTGGGTGCAGGAGGAGGAAGAAGAAGAAGGCCCTGGAGCTGCCCCAGAGGTAGAGACTGAAGAGATGCAGGAATTCCAGCCGCTGGAGGAGGGTGAGTTGCAGAGTTTGGCCTTAGGACTAGTGCCTGTTGCTAGCTTGGCCGCATCCCACTGCATGCTATGCCATCCCCTGGTGCTGTTCCTATGGAAAGGATGGGAGAGTGTTGGAGAAGATCTGGAGCAGCAACCCCCGAGAGTGCCCAAGCTGGCCTGGGTGGATGAGGAAGAGCAGGAGGAGGAGGAGGAGGAGGAGGAAGAAGGTCCTGGAGCTGCCCCAGAAGTGGAGACTGAAGAGGTGCAGGAGTTCCAGCCACTGGAGGAGGGTGAGTGGCAGAGCTGGGACAAAAGGCTGGTTGCCGCATCCCAACCCATTGCATCCCATTTCATCCCATCCCACCCTATCCTGTGGAGACACACCCAGGGACAGGACACAAGTGGGGCTGGGGCTGCCCCTCCAGCAGTGGCCGTGCTCCATCCCCTGGGGCATCTCGGGGCTGTCCCTGCCTGGGGATCACAGGGCTGGGCTGCGTTCTCCAGCCGCTCCTGCAGCCCCTCAGCTCTGGCTGCTCTCGCTCTTTGCCAGATGCAGCCGTGGACCAGACACAAGAGCAGGACCTTGCCTGTGGCCTCTTCCACAAAACACCTGCACAGGTACCTGCAGCCATCCCCAACTGGGCTGGGCCTGCTGGCACTGCTCAGCTCAGCACCATGCTTGGAACACTCCATGCAATATCCCTCTCTTCCCACCCTTCCTTCTCCTACCCAACATGCAAATTCATCAAGCGCATTTGGCAGGAAGAGACCAGCGTCATGGGCACTGGGTCCATGGAAGATGGTGACGTCTACACCAGCGACACCAGTGCTGCCATGCTGGAATTCATTTTGGAGGAGGGTGTTTCCATTCCAGAGCAAGTAAGCAGCCTGTGGCCAGGGTTTGATCCTCCAGGGATCGCTTGGCCTCCCAAGCCACGCCTGCTGATCACTCTAAGCCTTTGAGGCCATTGCAGCGTGGTGACAAGGGAAGCACTTCTCTGGGGAAGCTGGGGGCATTCCTGACTCCCTCTGGCAGCTTTCCAAGTCTCCCCTTGTGCTTTCTCCAGGTACCTGCCATGGTGAGGTACATCCACCAGTGCCTCATGGCCAATGAGTCTGCTGACTCCAGGCTGGGCAGGACCCTGCTGGATCTGACCGAGGCACAGCCCGCTGACGTGGTCATTGCTCTCCTGCGTGTGGCCCCAACGTGTGACAGGTATGAGGCCCATGTGCCCAGAGGGCTCAGGGCTCCCCAGCCCATCAGCCTGCACAGCCTGGCCCAGGTGTCTGACCAACAGAGAGTTCCAGGGTCCTGTGTATCTGGGACCTTTCCCAGCCCTGCTCCATTGGCCCCTGAGCCTGCTGCCATGCCATGTCCCGTCAGGGCCCTGTCCCCACAGGGCTGGGTTGCCTGGGTGCTGCTGCCAGCGAGGGGCAGCGGGCAGAGGCAGAGCTGGCAGCCAGCTCAGCTCCCCCTGACACTGCTGCCCAGGCCACGGGGATGTGTCTGAGATCCCCATGAGACAGAACTGTCACCCCACAGAGCTGCAGTGACCATGTGGAAGACCATCATGTGCTCGAGCAGGACTGTGGAGCCAGTGATGCAGATACTCCTCGATGTGCTGAGAACCTGGCCAGAGCACAGCAAGTGCACCTCTGATGGGGACAACACGGGTGTCTTTGCCCTGGCTGTGAGTTTCTGCAACTGGCCTTTGCTCACCCCATGGCTGACCGCCTCTCAAACAGCTCTGTTTCCTCCTTCCCCCACCGCATCTGCCTGCCTCAGGCACTGGGCTAAAACCTGGCCTAGGGACAGCTTCAGGGGCACCAGGCGTGGAGATCCCCAAGGCTTTCCCCTTGCCTTGCCCTGCCACGCTCAGGCCCTGCCACACAGATACCTTGGCACTGGGCACTATCCCTGGGTGCTTTGTCCTCTGCAGGCAACAGTGGTGATGTGGAAGTTCCTTCAGGTGCCCTGTGTCCCACGGGTAGTGAATGTGTATTTCCCCCGCCTCTTTGTGCATCTGCTCTTCCAAGTGTTCTTCAGCACTTTGGATATATCAGAGGATCTCAATGCCTTCTGGAAGGGATGCCAGGAGCAACACGGCCTTGCCACCAGCCCCAGCAGGTGCTCCATCCCAGTCCTCCTGTCCCTGCCATGTCCCCAGGGCAGGAGCCAGTGCTCCCAGTATGACCTGGGCTTTGCTGTGCACACAGGTTTGCAGTGCAGACCCTGAAGTCCCTGCTCTGCCAAATGCGCTGTAATGAAGTGGTGTTGTCAATGGAACGCAAGTGTGGCTGGGACACGCTGCTCTGTGCCGACACCCACCACTATGCCGTGGGTCTGCTGGCCAGGTGAGACCCCTTCTCCCCACTGCCTCTGGCATTTGTGCCCTGTGCCCAGGTTGCCCTGTGTCCACAGTCCCCATTGTCGAGGGCCAAAGGGCTGCATCACCAAGGGATGGCCAAGGAGACTGGGAAAGGCTGGGAGAGGAAGTCACCTCCCAAAAGGCTCACCCATGAGCACCCATGAGCAGTCACCTCCCAAAAGGCTCAGATCCCCTTGCAGGATCATGGTGAAAAATCAGGACTTTTCAGTCATTCCTGGGAGATGTCTGTCCCTCTGGCTCATAGTCTTGGTTACTTTTTCACCCTGGAAGGGAGATATCCTGTGTCTCCAAACGCTTGTGTTCCCGGATTGCTCGCTACCTGCTCCAGGTTCGTAGCACACAGGAGGCACGCTGGGATCTGCCTGCCCTGGCATTCCTTGTGGAGGTGAGCCCCATGGCCAGAACTGCCTCCCTGCAGAGCTGTCTGCCACCTCTCTGCCCTCTCATAGCTGCAGCTGCCTGGGACGGTGCCCATGCCCTGGGCTGCCGCCTGGGCCCTGTTTCCTGTGTGGTTCCTGCTCCTGCCGGCTGGCTCCCCTGTCACTGTCCTGTGCCTTTCAGATCCTGGACTACCTGGACTTGAGTGAACGTGGTGCTAACAGGCTCCTGGAAATCTTCTCAAGGCACCTGAGTAGCGAGTGCAGGGACAAGCGTCATCTAGCACTCAGAGCCCTTTTCAAGCTCAGTGATGATTCCTCAATGGTGAGAAGTGGGCAGTGGCAGAAGCTGCACTGGGGAACAAAGTCACTTGGGCTCGGCTGGGCTTCGGGCACCGAGGCAGCTGCTGCCAGCTCTCTTGCCTCCCGCTTCAGCTGCCTGAGTGCTTTGGGACAGGCCTTTGGCCTCTTGGCCCTGTGGCAGCAGGGTGGCATTTCACAGACTTGTCTTCCACACAGAATGAAAAGATGTGGAGCCTGACTGAAAGGCTTGTGGAGCTCCTGCGGGACGCAGATGGAGAAATAGTTAGGATGACAATCATGGTACTCAGCTCTGTAGTCTTGGACAAGGAGATGCTGATACCCAGCCCCATCGCCCTGCAGCTGGCTGAGGTGCTCCCACCACTCTTTGACCACGTAAGGCTCTGTGCCCCCAGCCGAGGCCACTGGCTGCTGCCTGGACACTTGGTGAACCAGGCCTGTGCTCTGCTGAGCCCCGTGCTGACAGGGCTGAGGTTTTTTTCTCTTCCTTCCATATAGAATAATAGCCAGGTGCAGCTGGTGTCCATACTGCTCTTCCAAACGTTGGTGATTGTTTTAGCTGAAATGGAAAAAGAAGCTCTGGAGACACAAATGTGCCAGAGCCTGCTGCCACTCTTCTTCCACTGCCATGACGAGAACCAGCGTGTAGCAGAGGTGAGGACTCCCGGGCTGCTGCTGTCACCCGGGCAGGGGGCTCGGCTGCCTCCTGCCCTGGCACCTTGCTGGCTGCAGCCTCCTGCAGGCCTTGGCACACGAATGCAGGTCCTGTGCCCTGGCTTGTGGGGCCATCTGCGGGTCTCTGCTGCTCTCCAGGCCTCTCAGAGAGCACTGCTTAGCATGGCCAAGTTCCTGAAGAGGAGAGATCTTGGAAATCCCGTGAAGAAGGAGAAACTGTGGAAGTTCGCTGAGGTCCTGGTAAGGACGGCCTGGAAGGCCCAGCCTTAGCCTGGAAAAGCCCCCTGTCCCCGGCGCTCGGTGTATGGGGCTGGCAGCTGCGCCCCTGCCCAGTGCCGCAGCCGGGGGCCGCACGGCTTCTTCT